CTTTGGACGTGGGACAGTGTTTAGTGAGTAAAGTTAATTCGTATGGTGCCAATAGAAGGTACCAGATTGGCCCAATCTCGCACCAACTGGAAGTCGTGCTCGCTCAGTATTCGCCTAGCGGCACCAACAGTAGTGACGATGGTGTTGCCTTCGACAGTGAATTGGGGCTTTGGCAGAATCCAAGCCAACGATGTGGACAAAGGGAGGAGAAGAACCACTTTGTCAACATCGACACTTGGCATCTTCGCCACAGTTGGCTCTGCAAATCGAGCATAACTGTTACGGTCCAGCAGACGCTGGCACCGCTCTATTGGAATCCACTCGTAGGTCTCCGGACAGGCAAGGTAGGAGGGCAAGTAGTTGTTCTTGTACACCATTTTACCACAGGAGTGAACGTAGAAGCCCATATGGTAGAATGTAAAATCGGCGTAAGCTGGCACAACTGATCCGTAAGTGCGATGCAAGTGGCGAACGAAAGCTACTTCTCTGCAATAGATGGCCGATAGACAAGGAGACTACTAAAGAGGGTGCTAAAGATGAGCATAAACTCACTGGAGAGCAGAGTATGTGCCGAGACGGAGGAAGGCGAAGGCGGGATCGTAGAAGAAGTAAACAGAGGAGAGACAACCAGGAACTATGTCTATCACACCGACACCAATGAGTTTCTTGCCATCCAGCCAGTACTGTTGGTGGTAGGTGCCGAATTGTGGAGCGCCATTGGCCTCCGCCTCCGCATCGTGAGTGGACTACAAGGCAGCACATTGAAGTGCGTCTCACAGAGACGCCTTGAGTACAGTGCATGGCACTACGCTTACCACCAGTGGGCTGTCTACAAGATAAGCGATGAAGCTGTCGCGTGTCCACTTCTCCGGTGCGTCGTGGTGCACAGCCACCTGGTAGGTTGAGAAGAGCTCGAACTCCTGGTCCAATGTCGCCTCCAACTCGGGTGACTTGGGCGAGCAGCTGTACATGCGCACCTGTAGGGGGCAAGGAGTGGCACGGTGAGGTGGTCGCATGCAGGTGCAATGCGAGGGCGGAATAAGGTGTGCTGACGTACATCAATGGTGTGAGTGCAGTCGGCTTCATCGTGCATGGAGTCG